AGAAGAAGAAGAAGAAGAAGAAGAAGAAGAAGAAGAAGAAGAAGAAGAAGAAGAAGAAGAAGAAGAAGAAGAAGAAGAAGAAGAGAAGATAGATAATTTTTATAACGCCTCCCCGCGTGCGCAAACAACTATGGGTGCTTAACATAAATCCAAATGCAAGAAATAAAACCTGTAAAACATACATTTATTATTGACTAATATCCCATGGTATAGATCTAGTTAGTGTCGGTGTACTAGTAAGTCTTACTCTTACTCTTTCCTCTAACCGACAATTTTTCATTTTACCAACACTCGCTGAAGTTTGCCTCTGCTTGCTTCAACACAAGGATATACAGCTGTATTTATATCGTTTGTAAGATCCTTGCCTCAACAGCCCTTTCCTTTGGTTGAGAAGGGTCAATGATGAGTGTTTGGAAGTGCCGATTCTTCTCTTGAATATTATACATTTTTGTATACGGTCTTATTTCTACATTATCCAATCCTGATATTTACACAACCCCAGATCACCTGCTAGTTGATCTGGGTTTTGTTTAGACTGCAATTTTGATTCTGAAACGGGTTTTCGTTTTGTACTGGCAATCGTCATGTTTTACGCCCCCCCCCCCCTCCAAATCAACACTCGACCCTATAATAGGGCACAGTAGCTAAGTAAATTGTAAATTCAGACTCAAAAGTATATCAAGCAAGTGTCTGTGAAACCAGGTTTACATGGGTAGTGGTTGGGTAGTCACTGGGGTGAGTCCTTGAACAAGACAGGAAAACCGTAGCCCTCAAAGGCAGGGCGCTGCACGGTGGCGACCAGCGATGGCATGTTTCAAAATGTTTGGGAAATTGTTCTGTTTTAGTGTGATATTGTGTATGTATGTAAATTTATGTTGTATTTATGTGAGTATAAGTGTATGTATGTATTTCTTTGTGTGTTTACGCATGTATGTTTTCCACTGTAACCCAAATTACCCACAGGGATCAATAAATTAAAAAATGTAGTTTATTTATATAATTTACTCGCATTTAAAAAAAAATCTCTTTTGAGTATTTAGGAATCAAGCTGCAGCTTCCAAACTAAAATTGTCTGAGACCGTAACAATTACATTCAAGACGTTGTTTGTTTCTGTTCATATCTTGGGGCTTTAGATTTTTTTTCTTTTAAAAATAATTTTCACTGTTATTTGGAAGAAGCTTTTTACTTCAGCCTTTTTTTTTTCTTGCTCTTGGTTTTGCTGAATCCCTTTTCTTCACTTTTGTTTTGATTTTTTCTTTCTTTCTGTTATATAAATGCTTGTTGTTTTTGCTGCTGCTGCTGCTGCTGCT